CTTGAGGCGTCCCGGGAGGCCGAGGCGGGGGCCGCCGCCCTGGCGGAGAGGCTCGGGCGCGCGGCGGCGGCGGCTAACGCGGCTGCCGCGGAGGCGGGTCGGGAGCGGGATGAGGCCCGGGACGAGCTGCGGGCGGCCGTGGAGGCGTGCGAGGCTCTGGAGGGGGAGCTTGGAGCGGAGCGGGAGGGCCGAGTGGAGGCGTCCGGGAGGGTGGCGGAGCTTGAGGCGGAACTGGCGGACGCCGGGGGCAGGGCGGAGGAGGAGGCCCAGGTGAGCCAGAGGACAGTGCCAACCGCCGCGTTGTTGTTGTTGTTGTTGTTGTTGTTGTTGTTGTGGTCGTCGGTGTTGCTGTTGCTGTCGCTGTTCGTTGTTGTGCGTGTGTGGTGTGTTTTGATGTTGATGTTGCCTTTACAGAAAAGGATTCGGGGCAGAAAACAGTGCCCTCATTGGCTTGCCCCACTCCCCCTTGAAATATCGTAGTAAATAATATCAAGGCGGCGCAGATGAAAGCAGCGAAAGTCATCCTAGGATGTTCCAAGCGCACACGTAGTGCAGCCGTCAGGGCAGAACTGGGGATCCGATCCCTCTGATCGGGAAGAGACACAAGGAAACTGACATGGCAGTATCGCATGTGCGGTATGGGAAAGGAGGGTTTACCAAGAATAGCTTGGGAGGCAGAGTGGGCAAACAAGAAGAGGGGAAGACAACCCACGGGGTGGGTCAACGTTGTACGTGACGTATGGAAGGGGTTCGAATTGACGAATGCGATACGCTGGATACGGAGGGTCTAAAAGGGTTCAAGGAGAAGATATCGGCTGATCTTGCCTAGAGAGAAGAACAGAATCTAAGAAAAGAACCCAACGATAAGGAGGGCATTGAAATATACGGAATGTTGAAAGAAGGAACAGGGTTCAAGGAGAACCTACATGGACCAATGGATGCAGGGACAAAGCTGAAGGTCAAATTCAGGACCGGGGACATTGGCCTTCGAGAATGTAGCCGAAGATATTGGAAGGTAGGTAATGAAGACGCCAAGATCAAACATGGTTGCGTGCGGCTCAGAGTGAGAAGACCGGGTCCATGTCGTTGGGGAATGTCCGTTGTACAAGAAGGAGAGGGAAATGTATATGACTGGGCTGGGAAAAGTAGAAGAAAAGTACAGGGAGATGTTTAGGGCACGGGATAGCCAGGAGAAGACGTTATTAATAGCTGTACCGGGGCATAGAGAGTGGGTTGAACAGGCGGGGAGTGATATCGGTAAGATAGATAGACTAGGGACGGCATTTTTAGCAACCTTTGGCAAAGGTGGAAGAAACGATTGGCCATCGGTGATCGGTCCTGTGGGAGCAATGCTCCGTCCTCTCGAGGACGCGTGGTCAATGGTCTAACCACTAAGGCATGCAAAACATAAGAGTACCCCCCCCCCCCCCGCCCCTTGATAGAACGGCTGGCAGCACCCCCTCCCTCCTTCGTACCTAGAGCGTGCTTGATCATCCTCGCACGATCACGCATCATCTTGTTGACCCTCCCACCGGTTCATTGTTCCCTTCGCCGCCGCCGGCGACGACCGCAAAACCACCGCTCACCCAAAACACGCAACGGGATGCACAGGCAGCGGCATCCGAAGCAGAGGCTGCCGCCCGCGCGAACGCTGAAGCAGCAGCGGCGGCGGCGGCGGCGGCGGCTGCGGCCGCGAGAGAGAGAGAAGAGGAGCTCACCCACCGCCTGGACGGAGCCCTCCACGCCCTCGACGAGGCTGAGATGCGCCTGGTTGAGATGCGGCAGTGGGAGGAGGCAGAGGCGGCGTGGGCAAGAGATAGGGAGGCGTCGAGGAGGAGGGAGGAGGGGCTCGGGGCGGCGAGGGAGGATGCGGAGGCGGCGAGGGAACGGGCGGAGGTACGGGCGGAGGAGGCGGTGTCGGAGCTGAGGAAGCGGGACGGCGAGAAACAGGTGTGTATTTGCGTGTGTTTTTTTGTGTGTCAGTATGTCGTATTGGCATGGACCGCGCCAACCGCCTGACCAAATGAAAGATGTCGGTGCCAGCGGGCGCAATCAAGGTCCCTGGAAGGGGGGGTAAAATTCCAAGATTGCACTCAATGCGAGTGCCAAAATGAATCTCTCTACATTTCCTTTTTTTCCTTTCACAGAGACACACATGCCCTCGCCCTAACCCAACCCAGGAAGCCACTGATGCAAAGAGCGGAGAGAGCAGCAAAAGGGTATTTTCAAAGTGTGTGTGTTTATTGCCGTCCCATGTATTTTAGATGTCGGTTCTTGTATCTTTCGGTACAATTCTGGACGTGCCAGCCAGGGCGTCACAAGAAGAAGGCCACCCAGGACCTTTTTTCTCCGCCTTCCTTCTGCGGTGCTTCGAAGCCTTTATTTTGCTTTCTTCTTTCTTTTTCATCGCCACAGGCAACGGCATATGCTTTGGCAGTCCAGATTGACGCGCAGCCCTTCATAAAGCTCTTGTGATCCTTATCCTTCCACCCGCCTCCACTACCACGACACCTCCTTCCTTCCCCTGGCATACCTCGTCCTCCGACGGCAGGCTATCGACCTGCGGCTCCGTGAGGCGGAGAGAGAGCTCGCCGCGGCGCGGCGGCTGCTTCGCGAGGCCGGTGCGGAGCGTGAGCTCTTGCACGGCAGGCTGGAGGAGGGTCGCCAGGAGATGGAAGAGTGGCTCCAAGGTTGCGCTCAGGCGAGTTGTCGTTTCGAGGTTTCCATCGACACAGGTCTAGCAGCCTCACCTTAGCGGGGACATGGAAAGGCATTGCTTTCATGAATTAGTCGGGGGTAATACACGTGTACCACCGTATCTACCGTGTTTGGCGGGAAAATAAAAATGCTACCGGTATTGACTGAAGTCGTAGTCCGGGTTAGTACATTCCGTGTTGAGCGGGGATAATTTGACAACGTCGTGTAGCGGGGTTAGCGTCTACCAGTATTGTATTTCGCAGGGTGTATTGGAGGTGAACGAGGTTTCATTGGTGGTGTACTTTCCCGACCATAAATTTCCCCCGTCTTAAGAGCTGTGGACGTAGTCTACCTCATCATTGTCTGGTGTAGCCTGGCCGGGCCGGGGCTCGCCAAAGGCGATGAAAACGGCATGTTAAGCTAACCCCGAAGCCAACTCAGAATGGCTTTACCACCTTCTGGACATGTTTTTTTTTTCGCGGGGGGGCACGTTGTAAGATTGCGGTACTCTAAACCTTGCTCCAGTCTTAACTTTCCAGCGTGAGACTTGATTTCTGGGAAGGGTGTCGTGGATCGGACAGTCGCCTCCCCCAGCCTCCCCCAATTTATAGCTCACTTCCGCTGCCGCTGAAATGCGTATTTTTCTTGGGACATGATGTTTCTTTTCGTACACGAGCATGCAAACGTGTGCACACCAAACACCGGCATGCGGATGTGTCTCCCGTTCCTGTTCTCTGAAGCAGTACATACAGTATCGTTTTGTTCTTTTTGTGCACACGTACAGTATGCACAAACACTGGCATGTGGTGTCTCTCGCTAATCCCGTTGATGCGGTGCCGTGTCCTCGATCGAACAATCCGCGTCGCAGGAGGAGGGAGGGCTACCGGGGCACCCGCAGTACTTGGCGGGCATCGCCAAGGGCAGGGAGGCCCTCCTGCAGGAGCGGGAGCTGAGGGAGGCCGCAGAGTCTCTCCACGCGCAGCTCAGGGCCGCCATGGACGAGCAGGTGCGAACGTAGCTCGATTTTTCGCGTTTCTGGTGGGATTGTTCTGTTTGTGACGATGGGATTCTTGTGGTTTCGTGACAACAAACGCTCTCTCAAGGGTACGACCTCCATCCGCGTATTGCGCTTTCCAGTGGTACAGCAGTATGCATGCATCCGGCGGTGAAGATGCATTGGCTGGATGTTTGCCGAGCTGACGCTCGCTTCGCCCCGAGGTTTGGCAGGAAAGCGGTGGGGGGGGGGTGTACTCATAGTCGTGCATGCCGTAGTCGTTAGACCATTGACCTCGCATCCCTACAAAGCCGGGACGGAGCACGCCGGGTTCTCACCGGACCAGGCTCTCACATCACCAAGCGCGAAGCGCCGTGAGGTATTTGGCGAGTCGCATGAAGGGTGAGCTGCATCCTGCTAAGGGTGTTCGGCATCTTGTGCTTACTTCCTTGCGTACGGATGACAGCTACGTATGACTTAATTTATTTTCTGGTGCTTTCACTTCCAGAGACAGTTGTAACGCACTGTGTAACTGCCTCGGAGGATGCTTGACCATTTTAACACAACGTGGTGCGATCATCCCCCTTTCGCGGAGCGAGGGTTCTCCACCCCGCACAACATGATCTACGCGACCACCATTATGGTTACCGCCAAAAAAAAAACGAGGTAAAAAAAACAAAACGGTAACCTGGTTGCCGAGTTCACGAAGTGAATTGGCCTTGTTTTACAACGTCGTTGCCAAGCGACGAAAACCCAATCCCAATGGCAAACCACCGAGGGGGGGGCTTGTTTTACAACGTCGTTGCCAAGCGACGAAAACCCAACACCCGATGGCAAACAAGGCCGAGGGGGGGCGGGAGCGGTGGGGGGGGGGGGGAGGGGGTGGCGTGGATGGGGCATGGAGGGGGGGGGTGAAATTCGGCCGTGCGAGGGAAGCCGAGGCAAGCGTGTATGTGATCTACCGAAAACGTCGAATTTTTGCTGCTATCGATTCCACGGAGCCCCCCAGCACCAGTTTCGCGCCAACGCCAATTTGGCACCAAAAGCCTTCACAAGTGCGATCGGACGGGCCGAAAAAGTCCAACAAATCGCCTTTCGATTCCCCGAAACCCTTGCAGCAGCGTTTGAGACGCACGCTTTCCCCCCCACACTTTTTTTTTTTTTTTTAGCTGGAGCTCGATGCCGAAGCCCTGGAACGGATGGACGGGTTGACCCGACAGGCCAGGAAGGAGCAAGAGGGAATCACACGCGAAAAGGACCGGCTGCAGGTAATCATGTCCTTCTTCTTTCCCCAAGAGGCCCGGCCGCACAACGGTGGCTTCAGTGGCTCGACTGATAGTTTACGTTTGAAATTTTACCTGATGGATCCTTTTGGCGCTAGGATGTGGGTTCATACCTCTCCTCATCCCCCCCCTTGCGTCGAAACCCGGACCGCATCACCAGGGTTGCGTGGTAGAGCTTGAGCGAGGCAAGAGAGAGACCGAGGGCGCCCTGTCTGTCGCCCAGGAAGAGCTCGAAGAGGCCTGTCGAGACCTCGAGGACGCCTCCCGCCGCCTCGCCCGCTCCCGCCGCGACCACGGGGCCGCCACGGAACGCCTCGAGGAAACCCGCCAGGCGCTGGCGGCGGCGAGGGCGAAGCTGGCGGAGGCCGAGCGGGCGCTGAGCAAGACAACCGAGGAGCTGGTGGCTACCACGGAGGAGCTCGAGTCGACGAGGAGGGAGCTGGGAGGGGCGGAAGAGGAGCTGGTGGTCCTCCGGGAGGAGCTCCACGCCGCCGCCGCGGTGGGGGGGGAGGGTGGTGGCCACGCTGCCGCCAACGACGACGACGTTGACGACGAGAGCCTTGCGGGTTCTGGACGGAAGCAGCAGCGCACCCTGGCGGCAGGCGAGGGGCCGGCTGCTGCTGCTGCTGCGGTGGCGGGCGTTGGCCGCCCTGAGCAACCCGAGCAGAGGTTGCCGCAGGAGGTGGGGGGCACGCTAGTGGGCGCGGTGGAGCGGGCGTTGCTCGTGGAGGCGGCGTCCGAAGCCCGGGCGGAGGTCGAGGCACTGCGCGGCAAGGTCCGCGGGCTGGAGCTCGAGGCGGCGGAATCGCGGCGTAGCCTCGCCGAAGCCAACCGTCAGCTCGCTTCCCTGGTTGCGGTGGCTCGAGCGGAGGGCGGTGGGGAACGGGCGACGGTGGCGGGTTCTAGCGGGACCGAGGAGGCGGTGCAGCTGCCGCTGCGGCAGGGCGGTAACCTGTCGGATGGCGGCGAAACGGGCGAGGTTCGGGAGCTCCGGCGGCAGGTGGAGCGGGCCGATCGGCTCAGAAACGCCTCCGAGGATAAGGCGGCGAGCCTCCTGCGGAGGCTGGCCCAGGTCAAGGCGGAAGCGGACCTTGTTGTGCTTGAGGCCGAGCGCGCAGAGGTGAAAATCCAACGGCATCAGCCGCGTGGCAAGGGGGTTCTTCAATGGCGGGAACGGGAGGGGGTGTACTCATCGCCGTGCATTCCGTAGTCCTTAGACCATTGGGACCTCGCGGGAGGCGGGGGGAGGAGGTATTTGGATGCTTCTTCTTGCTGTGACGTCTCGTGGCAAAGCAAGGGTACCGCTGTGGTTGAAAAATCGGCGCAAAGGTCTGGCTGTTCGACTAAATAGCGAAGAGGTCGGCGCGCTCCCCTCCGCTCTTTATAAGCATGGGCCCAGACCGCGCTCTAGAAGATGCTGCACGTTGTTCGAAACTCGCGTGAAACCGCGTTGATCACGACTCTTTGCCTTGTGGTTGGCCGCAGGAGCTTAAGGAGGTCTTCAACGACGACCCGGGGGTGCGTAGCCGGGTTGAGCAGGAGCTGAGGAGGGCGATGGGGTCGAAGGTGGGTATGCTTCGCTGGGTCGGATCGCGCATTTTCAGATTTCTCTCTCGAAGACTGCGGGAGAGCGTCAGTGCTGATGGTGCTACCTGCCAGGATTGTTGCTGCTGTTGCTGGTATTGCTCCTGCTGCTGCTGCTGCTGCTGCTGCTGCTGCTGCTGCTGCTGCTGCTGATGGTGGTGGTGGTGATGGTGATGGTGATACTGATGGTGTTGCTGCTTTTTCCCTCCTGTATGTCCTGCCTTGGATCGCGCTGTCAATAGCTGGAGTGCTGATAAGTTTGTTTCAGGTGTAGAATACGACTTTATTCAGGCAAAGCAGTCAAATTTTTTCGGCGGTGATAGGTGTTATTTCCCGCAATTCACCGTTTCCGGAATAAGTCTTTCCAGGCGTGGCGTAGAGGCCAACCACTCTCCAACTCCCCCCCCTATCTTTTTGCGTTCTTCAACCGTGATTATTTATTCTCGGCCTCCCTACCTCTCCACAACACCACCGCCTCCGCCACCGTATCTATGTATAACACTACAGGACCGCCTAGAGGAGCGACTCGCCTGCTCGGAAGCAGCTCTCGTCGTAGCGGAGGAAAAGTTGGCTGCGGAGAGGGCCGAGCACGCCGATGCTCTGGTGGAAACCAAGCAGTCCCTCGATCGGGAGCTCAGGGAGCAGCGGGAGGCCGCACAGGCCGAGGTGTGTGGCTACGACCTTTGGTTATCCTGTTTTCGCCGCTGCTGATGCCCCATGCCGAAGTAGACTACGAACGGTTGTCCTCCAAAAAGCGCTTGCTTCGTTGTTTTGCTTTCATGTATAACTCCCTTAAGAACCCAGTTTTTCCCACGCGCAAAAGTCGAGACCACTGATTGTCTTCCAGACGACGGCTTTTTTTTTTTCTTTGCGTGCAACCCTAGCCCTACCCTTCCCTGAACTTATTTATTTTTTAGTACCCACACACAAAAGTAGAGTATATCTGATTGCCATCCGAACAAACGTCCAATTTTTGTTTTTGTTATTTTTGTTATTTTTGTTATTTTTGCTTGCTGATTTCCCTCCAGGCTACTTGTCTCGAGTCGAGGGCATCGCAGGCAGAGGGTACGTCGGAGGAGTTGCGAGAGCGGCTAGAAGAGGCCCTGCGGCAAGCGGAGAGCGCGGAGGCCGACACGGAGACCGCCAAATCGTCGGTTGCTGAGGCTCAGGTCGGTGGTAACGACGATAAGAACGACGATGACGTGGGAGTCGGTGGCCCCAGCGGTGGTGACTGTCTCGGTCTGATGGCGTTTATTACAATTTTTTGTTGGTATGCCTGCCTTGTGTAGTCTTTCCGTGGAGCTGTTGAGAGAAGCGTTTGTTTTTCGTTTTCGGTCGAGGGGGTCACACCAAGCCAGTCAGTCACCAAGCATGTAGACTCGGGAGTCGAAGGAACTTCAAGAGCGTACTGCTCCTGCTGCTGCAGGCCCACGTTTTCTCCAAGGCGTACATAGGGTCCTCCACTTTTCGTGCGCCATACTGCCGAGATTGGGTAGGAGCACTAGTATAGTAGAACAAAATAGGACTCGTGAGAGGGTGGGTGGGTGGGTGAGAACTCGACATCCTTCGCCTTGCTGCTGGCTGACGCGTGTTTGTGTGCCGTGGGCGTGCTTCAGGCGGCGCTCGAGGAGTCGAAGGAGAACTTGCGGTCGTCTGAGGCGGAACGCTCGGCCTTGTCCCGGAGGAAGGAGTTGCTGGAGAGCAAGGTGGCTGAGCTGGAGGAACAAGTGGGCGAGGTACAAAAAAACGGGGTGGCAGGGGGGGGGGGGGGGGGGGGG